ATTCATTAAGTGAATATAGATGAACCAAAGAAACTAAGCTTAATGGTAACACATATTAGAAACCCGACCATTGAAGCTTATAACTATTAATTAATAGAATTAACAATTGAAAGGTCTCAAATCTCATCTCTTTGTCTTCTCAAATGTTTCCTTTTTTTGGTTCATGCTTCATTCTAAATATATAAGAATTAGACTGTGTGAAGATGAGAGACATTAAAATTATAATTGATTATTGAATTATTGTGATGAAAAATAAAGGCTGTCTTCTCTTTCCATGGCAATTTATCTAGTTATACCTCAATTAAAATGTCAGTGTTGTTCGTATATATCATTAGACGTTGCTTCATTTTTTTTAGATACTTTGTCTCACAATTTTGTGTTTTGTGTTATGAAATTATTACATCTGTGTTTGCTAAACTATTAGATGAACCTAATGCAAGAAGTGTAGCTATTCAATGCTATTCTTGAGATTAGAAATACAAAAACATATACAAAATATAGAATAGACAAGATTTTACAAAATTTGTTCGTGAGTCTCTTCAAAATCCTGTAATTATTTTTTATATATATTTTATGTTTGATTTGTACTTGTACGCCACAAAATTTATCACAAGAAATTAAATACAACCTCAGATTATAGTGATCCTATTTCCCACCATTTTATTTTGTATTCCGACTTGTTCCGTAGATGTGAGTTGTTGTATTTAGCTTGTTTCCTCTCAATACTTTGTATTAAAGTTATAGGATGTTTTGGCAGGTTCGTTTCAGGTTGGTTGTGATTGCAAGCATATGGCTGCTGTTCAGTTTTGGCTCTTCGCTCACCAGGACTTTGTCGCTCGAGCCAGCCTTGTGTTGTGTTTATTCCTTCGTGTAGGGTTTGTAGGCTCGAGCGAGCTTTTCGTTGTCTTCAGGTTTTATTTAGAGCAACCTTGGCTCGAGCGAGCAGCTGTATGTTTTGGGCTTCTTCCGTTGACGAGCAGTTTCTTCGCTCGAGCGTGCTTCTAGGTTGCGACCTGAAGCTTTTTTGTTTCGCTCGAGCGAGGCTTTGGCGCCGAGCGAGGTTTCTTTTGTGTCTGGTCGCTCGAGCGACACTCCTTCGCTCGAGCGAGGAGCATATATATCAGTTCGCGCAGCAATTTTCTTCTTCACTTTGATTTCCCCTTTGTCAACCCTAGATTCGATCCCTCTCTCTTACACTCACCGTTCTCTCTAGGGATTGATCTAGTTTTGGTGTTCCTACCCTAACTCTTTGTAAGAAAGTCACAGGGTTGCGTGGGCTTTGTGTTTTGCTCTTGAAAAACTTTAGATTAGAGCATTCCAAATTGGCTCTTCTTTCCTTGGGTTCGTCGTTTGAGATAGGGATCTTCCTTTCCTTTCAATACTCCATCTTTAGATAGACAATGTGTAGTCTTGTATTGCATGAAAATCATATTCATGTTGAATTTCTTTGAACCATGTGAGGACCTAGGTTGGTTTTGAAGATGATTATTTTTATCATTGATAGTTCTTTGTGTAATTGGAGTGTAAATTAGCATTATTATGGAAGAAGAAAAAGCCTAAATTATTTGTTTTGGTAAATTAAAGAGGGGTTGATGAACAATAAATGTAAATTATATTTTATATGAGTTTGGGTGAAGGATTAATGCATATAGGATTAACTATGGCTTTGGGTTGTTTTGAAATGAATGTATTGAACCGAGTTGGATTAGCGTTTTATTATCCATGGAACTGATTTTGTAAAATAAAAGAATGGATTGGTTTGTGAATGGAAATAGTTTTTGAAATAAGTGGTGGAACAAGCAACTTTGAAAATGAAAAATGAATATGAATTGAACTATTATGTCTTGAGTGTTAATATCCATATTTGGTTTTACCTTTACTATCGTACTAACGTTTGTTGTTGGGTTTATGATTCATGACAGTTGAGTCTTCTAATAGTGTATTGAATACATCATCTAGAGTCTTGCTTTCTACGGTGGAGGATCATTGTTGTATTGAATTGTTTTATGCATTACATCTGTGTCAATTGAACATTATATTAATGAAGTGCTAAGATGCATTATATATGTACTCCAGTGTTGTGGGAGATAGGGATTATTCACCCCTATGTGTTCATTATTTTAACACATTGCTCATGTATCTTGAATAGTCTTGATGTAGTGTGACACTTATTGTTTGTGCTTTGTTATATGAGATGGTTTGTGTTATATACCGCGCTATAGATGAGTACCAGTCCTTCTTGCAAGCACTGAGAACTTGACTAGGTACCATTACCTCCAGCTTGTGTCTAAAGAATATGGCTAGTCTTTGATTATAAGGTGTATCCTTAACTTACCGTGCTTATGGCAGTAGAGTAAGCTTTATATTATTGTCTCAGTATACATGAGTATTCATGGATTCGATGCAGTTTTGAGAGGCGCGTTGCGCTCTATTTGTATTTTATACATGTTGATGATTTTTTATCACCTTTCTATTAACGGCATGCATGTATAGATATGAATGTATGGGAATAACAACATCCATTATGAATTTTTGAGTGTAAGGAAATTGGGTATTTAAGTATGTTTTGAAAAAAAAGAAATCTATTGTAAGTATGGAATAAGAGAGAAAAGTAGGCGCTAGTGTAATTGTTTTCTAAATGTTTATTGTTGTAAAAGTTTGGAACAAGGGATAATGAAAGAAAAATGAATCGCTTATACGTTGAATGAAATGGCTAATTCGAGAAAGTACATACTTATGTAATTTTGTATAAACTGTCACAATTGCTATTCTAGTATGAGATCGAGCATTCATGTCATAGCTATCTGTAAGTTGTTATTGTTGAGATCATGTGAGATCCTACTGACATATGTTTATCCACGTGTTGAACTTTATTTTTCAATGATAGCGATGTGCTACGAGTATTCGACTTCTTATTTGTGGCATGGCTCTCTTTGTTGTTGCGGAGGCCATTAGTAAAATGGTTATCAATTCTTTGATTCTTTAAATAATGGTGTAAGCCCTCGGCGCATGTTATTGGTATGCTTCATGTGTGTAGTTAGTTTTCATTCGGATAAGAATTGTCTGTTTATTACTTATACGTTGTACTAAAGGTTTTTCCGCATGCTATCCTGATATTGATTAAAATTAATGAATTTGTAATTATTTCGAGTAATTAAAAAAGTGGGGCGTGACAACTTGGTATCAAAGCGAGCCGGGTTTTGAATACTTTAGGCTCTGTGGGAAGGTTTTTTTACCACAGGGTGTCCACATATGGTGAGAACATTGCATATAGTTAACAATGAAGTTAGGACTCACACAAGAATTACACTTTGGCAACAAAAATTGGTCGCTAAAAGTCTATTTTTGGTCGGCAAAAGTTATCGCGACCATTTTTTGGTCGCTACATCTTGGTCGCCAATTGAGGTCGCAAAAAGTAATCGCAGACCAAAATTTTGGTTGGTCGGCAAAAGTTAAAGTTGGATTTGCCGACTAAATTTTTGGTCGCTAAATATTTAATTTCCGCGACTAATTCATTTTGTCGCTAAAACACTTTTGTCGCGAAAAGTGATATTTTCCCGACCAAATATCTTAGTCGCCAATTGACACATTTCACGACCAAAAAATTTGGTCGCCATTTGTTACTTTTCGCGACCAAAACTTTTGGACGGAAAAAGTGAGTTTCCATGACCAAGAGCTGTTTTGGTCGGCAATAGATGTATTTTTTGCGACCAAAACTCTTGGTCGGCAATTGTCATTTTTTGCGAAAAAAAATAATTTATTTGTCGCGACTAATAAATTGGTCGCCAAAGCAGGAAAACAATACACCTGTAATTCCTAATAATTCATTCAATCCATAATAAACCTATAATTTTAAAGCATCATTCAAATTAACTGAATCATTAACATTCGACACTACAACTATTCTAAGTTTTCATTCACAAGTCACATCCATCTAGCATAACAATTTAAAACATAACTATTTATTATCCATGCGCAGCTATCAACAAATAAAACTACTAATATTTGTCATCCATACACATCCAACCAAAAATATTTAATCCTCCCAAAAATGCCTATACTGCCAAGTAGTCTTGTACAATTTACCATGAGTTTTCTTCACCACAAAACTGGCTTTCTAACTGAGCAAAGCTCCAAAAATTATAACTGAACCTGATCAGAAAATCCTGCCCCACGAGACATGACAATTGCCCATCTACTTCCTGCAATAGCCATGGCAGTTACATAGAATCCTTCCCTCCATTTTTTATTTATCCACTTGAATGGAAATGACTCGCTCACTTTATAGGATTGCTGTAAATACTGGGTACCTAGGTTTTAAAGTAGTGAAAGTAAGAACAACAGTAAGTGAAACATTAGTAGAAAGGAACTAAAAGAAATTATTGAAACATTAGCTTACCTAAAAACATCTGGCCGTTGATCATAATCAACATGTAGACCAGTAGAACCATCATGCCACCTAGTTGCTGCATGTCAAAATGTGTTGTCAGAATAATGAAAAACTGGCATAATTCAGTATCGTACTGTGTCTTATGCTTGTACTGCAGAGAACAAATGTATATGGTAAAATTTACCCAATCCAAGGTCAACAAGGAACATTTTTTTCTCATCAGGTGTCCCTGGCGGACCAAGCAAAAAGTTCGCAGGCTTTACATCTCCATGCACATATCTACACAAAGTTGTAGCAATCATATATAGACCATACACTTTAACAAGTGGAAATCGCTACAGCTAAATAATAATAATTGGATTCTAAGTTTATTTACAAACATAGAAAGGGGAAGAAAGAAAAACCTCTCCTCAATGTGATGATTGTGAATCAATATTTTACACAAATCAAAAATAGAGAACAACCAACTCTACACAGAATGCCCCATGCCCAACACGTTGTCTAATGCCCAATCCAACTGCAACCAACTTAATGTGATGATTGTGAATCAATGTTTTACACAAATCAAAGCAACCTTATAACAAGCATGAGAAACAAAGTTAGAATTTACCTGAAGGATCAATTCCTTTGACTCATAATCCGAAAGCGGAGAGGCATAAAAAGCCAGTAGAATCTCAAGGATGTTGTTCTTGATATATATTTGAGCATCATCATCTGAATTTAGCCCAGCATACAAGAGACGAAGTATCCAGAGTCTGAGTGTCCTAAACTTCACAGTGCTGCTCCAAAAAAAAGTTTCAAATAATGGCATACACTGCAACCAAAGTCGAAAAATACTATAAGAATTCAGAATTGATCCATGTTACACGCAGAAAGGACGTGAATTATATAGCTATTTCTTAGTTAATTGAATATGACTTTTGTCAATGAATAATAGAAATGAATGAATTGCATATAAACCTTATAAGGCCAACTGCTAAACTAAATGAAAATGGCATAAACTGATTCCTTGCAGTCAGAAAGCAGATACCTTCACATTCACCCTCGGAGAGCGCAACAAAAAGTTACTTATGGTTAAATAATGATCAGGTGAAGAGTCCAGTAATATGAAAGAAGCCTCTGCAACAAACATAGCAATGATAGAAGGAATCCTCTGCCAAGGATCTTCTATACCATTTTGCAAATACGTCAACAAAAGCCGAAGTCGCACTAAACCCTCCCTCTTTTGACACCTCTGTAATAAATAGTTTGAAATCATTATGAACAAAGAACTTACAGATACTAAAGGAAAATTAATAACAAAAACAGAGAAATATTAAAGACCTTCACAGATAATTTGACGCATAAAAGAAAATTATGCATCTCTTTCTCTCTCTCTCTCTCTCTCTCTCTCTCTCTCTCTCTCAACGTGGGAAAGAAAGAAAGGCAAACCACATATGTTTACAACAATTAAGCTGAAATTTAAAATAAAATAAATTAAAAAAAAGGTTCCTCCAACACTACAAAATACTGGATGACAGCAGCTGGAAATGTAAATGACAAATACATTAACGTTAAGTCATTAAATGGAAACTTTTGTTTTAAAAGGTATGTATAGGAAATTATTTACTGATCGAACAAAAACAAGGGGGGGACTTGAATCCACCCTTACTGCCTCCCAAACCCACCCTAGTCCCCCACCCCCACCCCTTCCCCTTAAAATACCCATCACCATTGCCACATTCTCTAATTCATTTTTCACAACCAATGTGGCGATGTGTATTTTAATGATTCATGTCAGGTGGTTGATTCGTGCCGAGAAGGAATCGACACACTAAATATATGCACTGAACTTTTTTGCACTCACTCTGGTTCATATTATTTTCCTCCAATATGGCACTTATATATATGTGTGTGTGTGTGGATTTCCAACTCTCTGGACAAATTTTGTGTGCTTGCATGTGATGAAAGCCAAGGTGTTAAAGCTAGCAGAAAGAAGGGGACAGGGTGGTGGGAGAAGGGATGGGCAAAAATGCCTTTTTATCTATGATTTTGACTTAACAATAATTAAATTCTCATACATAGTTTTGTAGAATACTTCCCATTTTATGTTATCTCTCTCTCTCTCTCTCTCTCTCTTCCATTTTATGTACATAGATTATTTTCCTATACAAATTCTCTAAGTAACACATATGTATCTATGTAATTATGTATTGGCCAAAAAAAAAGATATATACAATTCTTTATTTTTTAGGCTAATATAAAAATAAATAAATAAATTAGAACTTCAAATTATCACATGTACATTTATATAAAATGCGCCAGGCCTTGGACAGGCTGAGTTATTTATTGCCCAAACTCAGCTGAATTCACTTTTGGGCCTAACTTTGTCCAAACTTAGCCCGTTCCCAATTTAATATTGGCCTGGAATTGTATGGGTTGAACAGGCAGGCTTCAAAGCTTAGCTGGCCCTATTGATTGATCTACTTATATGTATATGTAAGCATGCTTTTGCGTAGAGCAAACTAGAGAAAACAGATCACCAACATAGAGTTGAGTTTTGGGGTGTAGTCAGATGTTTCCTACAAACTCCAAAACTTTGACCCTCTTAAAAGCAAGTGCTTCCACAATCGCACACTGAACGCTAATGCAGCCTCATTCCAGCTTGAATTGTTAACATTACACACACAATATGAAGAACAAATAACAACCCAAATTTATGAAAAATTTTGCAGTATTCACAGCATATTCCATAAACATCAATTTTGATGAAAGACAGAAGTACCTCTAATGCAGTCTTGAATCTTCCAAGAGCCTCATAACCTAATTTCCTCATCCCATCATGTGGTGAAGATATGCTAACGAATGCAATTGCGAGCAACCCTAAACTAGCAAACTCCATAGGCTCAATGTAACCCATTGACAGACTATGAATTGAGAAGTGCAATATGAAAACAGGATCATATATTCGTATTTTCTCAACATTTGCATAAGGTGTCTGCGTAGAATAAAATCAACAAATTAATCAGAATTGCAACTGGGCCATGGATAAGTTCATAATAACAATAATAACAACAACAACAATGACAATAACAAATTATATAAACAAATAGTTGAAAACTGCAGCATGCCATAAGAGGAGTTTTTGGGTGAATATGCCATAAGAGGAGTTCAGCTTCACTGTAGTCAGACAAATACCTCAGAATTATCATGCCGATACTTGGACAAGAATGAAGTTCCCTCACTCACAGTTCTATCATAAGGAAAATGTAGCACAGTAGTTGCACACACTTTGGGGTCAACAGGGAGGTTTTCCCTAAATTGACTTCTTCGGCGTTCTTCAATTGCTTCAACATCATTCATATTAACAGATGACAGATCCTGCTCCTGTTCTCGTTCTTTTCTTACTTTTATAGCAGCAGCTCCCCAAAGGTAATCCATCTCAGCAATGCTTCCAAAATTTGATTCATTAGCAGACTCAATTTCAAACATGAGATCATATATTTCCAAGTCAACTTCACTGAGTGTTGCACCATAAGAAGACAGAACCAAGAAAACCAATTCTCTAGAATTCACACTGATGTCTTTTTTGAAATCAAAACCACACTGCTGAGACGTGAAATGAAACGGTGCCCTAAGTAACTTAACAATTTCCAACCGTTTCATGTTCAGTTCATATGTATTTTGTGGACTCATTTCCACATTAAGTGCACTTTGATCAGTAGATGGAACAACAAGTAATCTTAGAATGCTGGACATAGGCTTAAAGATCACACCAAACTGAGAACCACCAGATGATTTGGAAACATAATGTATGGTAGGTGCAAACTGAGAGTGCGCAAGCAGCAGCTGAAGCACTAAGCTGTTTGAGTTCCCATCAGATAGCAAAGTAAGAACACTTCATAGCATCTTCAGTGTTGCAGGGTCCTCAAACTTATGAAGAAGAGACAATCTCGCCAATTGTTCAATGAATGGAAGAGAATTCAATTTGATAAGACAATTATGCATCTCTCTAGTTAACTCCAGAATATTTCTTAGAATGAAGGCCTCCAAAAACATGAACAAGAAATAGTTTGTGCCAATGACTTTTCCAGAGTCCTCAGACTTTGAGGGGAATTTCTTGACAATCAACTGCCAAGTCCACACCAATATGTTCATAAACTGAATTCTTGATAAGTCCTCTTTATTAGATCTCACTTCTGAATGAATCTCCTTCATATTCCCATCTTCCCCGGCAGTGACTGAATCTGATTATCCTTTTGAAATAAAAGCATCCTACAAAAGTAAATCTTTGCAACAACTCTATTTACAAGGTTTAAAGACTGGTTAAGTGAATAAGCATCAATCTCACTAACATCACAATCTAGGATAGTGTCATGTGCACCAGAATGTGGACAAACAGAATCAAATAACTTCAACCGCTTTTTCAATTTCACAGCATCTCTGTTCAAGGAAAAGCAGTACCGAAGCATAAGAATTGCCTTTCCCAAGAGACTGTCAGAGACAAGATTAAGAAGTTCCTCCATAGATGGAGACAAGAACTCAGTACATTCTAGCTTAAATATGTCCCCAGAAACATAGCTCTTCCAGTCTGAGAAACTGCTCTAGAGAATCTTGCTATAGAAAGAAGATATATTTCCAACACATATCTGAAACTGCTCCCCATATTTCGTGGAAGATGACTATAAGTACAACCAGGCAGTAGGCAGAAGCATCAAAAAGTCATCATCTGAACGAGTATTGTTAGATGTTCCTTTAATGACATTGCCCTTGTGAAGCAAATATTTATTCATCAAATCTGAAAACAAGTTTCCAAAGACTAAAAGATGGAAGGGGCTCAGTTCAGTAAGATGAAACAATATGTTAGCTCTAGTTATGTTAGTATTGTGGATGCAACAAGAAAGTACTTTTATCGGAGTGTTTACTATCACCCTCGATATATCCATACTTAGAGGAATGTGCTGGTTTTGCATTACTTTATGTATGTTTGCGACATTAACAGCTTTCAACAAACATAGATCTGCAGCATCTAGCTCAAAACACATGGCAATTTCAATAACTTCAAAATAAATATTCTCAAACAGAAGAACATCAAAATTCTTTTCCTCCATTCCCCAAAACATATTGTATGATATTCCTTTAGTATATGGCTGCTGCAAATAAGCTGATAGCATATCAAAAGCACAATCAGCAATCCATAATCCAACTGAGAGAGCAGAAATTTTAGATGATACCTGAAGTGCATTTTCACTATGGTCAATCCTAGAAAACATCCAAAGCACAAGTTCAAGCAGCTCAAGAGGGGATATGAAACGAATCAAAGTGTGTAGAGTGTACAATGTAGGGGTAAGGGGCTTCAAATCTTCAGTTTTTATACAATGGATCTTATTTGAAGAATGGGGCCTTGGTAGCAATTCTGTTGGATGTCCAAACTCCCTAGTAAATGAGATTCATGAAGATCTTTCTTGGGGGAAAAGATTAGATGTATTACTTAAAAGAGAAGACATCACAATTCTGTTTATAGTGCCCGACACAGTTATAGTTAAGTACTTAAGCTAGAGAAAAATAACTTATTTCCATTTTATAACCCATTAATTACAGTATCAAGAATCAACCCATCGAACTATGTTCAAAATAATCATCAACTGTAATTTATACATCCCATTTTCATCCCTTTCTTCAAACACTTCGTGCCCAACACACAATACTAATTGGGTTCCCAGGTCCGGTTACTCTAATCAGGGGCATCTGCAGCAGCGTTGTAAATTAAGAGCATGGAAAAGATGCTGAAGGGTAAATTTCCTTAGGCCGTTAAACCTCCTTTTCATGTCATAAATAATCTATTTTGTTTCAGGTTTGATCAGACTAGATGCCATTGATGATCATACTCATTAGCCTCCTAATTTCTTGAAGGGTTCCTACTAATTATAATCTTATGTTTGATGATGAAGCTGGAATTTAATCATTGGACTGGTACTCTGACTTCAGACCTAGTAAGAGATAATCCCCTTAGAGAAATGTGGAGAATTGATTTCAAAAATTTAGACAATAGAGACTAGGGGATTTGGGTACAAGGTGGCTAAGTGATACTACTGAGCTTAGATGCCATGGATAACTTCACATAATTATATTATTTGGAGTAAGAGAAACTTTAGGGAAGTAGGATGCAAAAATTATTAGTATTAGTTATTATTTTAATTAGATCGAAAAGTGTATCGGAGAAGCATTACAGGCACTCTCAGGATGAATGATACATTTGGACCAACTATCAGACTATCAAACTTGTGAAGCATGTGTAGACACCCCATTTTTGACCGTCCTCAAGACTTGGACATCACCGTTTGAACACTCGGTGATCATCCATGTTTGTGTTCGTTTGGAGTTCCCGGAGGTCTCGGCTACGCGCCTTGCCTCAGGATCTCCGAACTCGACCGTTTAGTGTCTGGTTTTCAACCAAACACTTGCATTTTGCCTTGGAGGGGCAGGGAATGCCTTGTGAGGCACCCCCACACACCACCGGCAGTGGCTAGAGGCCACCGGCTGGTTTTTGATTCCACCGGCAATGTATATTGCCGGTCGGCATTGTTTAGTGCCGGTCGGCACTCAATTTTGCCAAAATGGCATTTTTAGCCGGCCGACTACTGTGCATCTGCTTTTGCAGATATTTTGAGACAGCTGTCTTGCTTTTTCTCCCCTCCATACACGTGTATGGAGGGATCTCCCTCTTATGAAGCTTGTCTTGTAAGCTTTACAAGACAAAAAGCTTCTATATAGAGAGGGGCTCTCTCTTGTTGCAAGAGGTTGGAGAGTTTAGACATTTTAGGGAGAGAAAAACACAGACCAAGCTCTGGTTTTAGGGTTTGAGTTACATACACATCCTATCTCTATATTACTCTTGTGTGTGTTTTAGTCCATACTATTGCACACAAGCACCTAGTGTTTCACCTTCCTCTTGAAACTGAGGTTCTAAGGGACTGATTTTGAAGTTTTGGTGTTGGATTCATGCCAAGGAGGGCCATTGGAGCATCATTGTTGAAGAAGTCTTCAAGGGTAAGAATCTCACCCCTTTATTCCCCATTTTTGCACCTTGTTTATACCTGTCTTAAAATCGTTTTTGAGCTTAGTGTATAATACAAAAAAGTTCTATTTTTAGGCCCTCTTTATTGTTTATTAAGAGTGTTTTTTGGTTTGGGGGTGTTTGACCCCTCTTAGGCCTTGAAAGGCCCCATTTTGAGCCATTTTGTGCTAGTTTCGGGACTTTGGTGTTTGGGCCTCTTCACCACTGAAATCTTGAGGGATTTCAGTGGTGGAGATGGTGCCTTTAAGTCTCCAAGAGGAGAGGGCCACCCCCTCTCCTTGTTGTCCTTGAAAAGGACATGTTTTGGCCTCTTAAGGGAGCCTATGTTTGAGTGTGTGTTGAGCATGTGTAGACTGTTTTTCATGCTTATATTTCCATAATATAACATGATTTTAAATTGGTTTTGGTACTCCATGCATGCTTAGCATAGTTGTCGTGTAATGCCTTGTGATCCCTTAACATGTCTTAGGTTGTGTGCCTTTGTTTCTAGCATGTTTTAGGCTTACATTTGTGAAGATTTTGTGCTTATCTTGACATGTTTTAGGTCTGTCCATAAGTGTTTGGGTTGATTTTAGCATGCTTAGTGTAGCCCCTTTGCATTCCGGCTTGTTGGCCTTAAGTATGTGCATGTATAGCATGACATCTTTGCATTGATTTGGTGATTTGGGGCCACCCTACAAGTTATTTCAGTCCCATTTTCATGCTTGTGTGACTGCCTTGTATGCCTCTTTAATGCTTTGGAAGCATGTGTTGCATGCTCCATGTTTTGATCATTGTGCATGCCTCTGAATTTTGAGTCACTTAGATGCCATCTAAGTAGTCCTTTAGCCTTGTTTTAACATGCTAAAAATCTGTTTTTAGTTGTTTAATGCATGCCATGATTGTTGTGCTAAATGTGCTTCAAAGCTTCATGACTTGCCTCAAGTGTTTGGACCATGCTTGCATGCATTTGCTTATCTTGTTTAACATGATTTGGCATCATTTTATGGCATGATTTTAGAGCTCATGTTGCATGCTAATTGTCCATGAAATCTCTTTTAGAGTGTGCTTGAATGTTGCTAGTTTAATGCTTAAGGCTTAGACCATAACATGTGCATGTGTGCATGTGTGTTTAGCCTTCATGTTTGGGCATTTTGGCCCTTGTTTTAGGCCTAATTAGAGCTGCCTAAATCACCCATAAGTCCATCTTTTCATCCATTTACATTGCCTCATGTATGCTTGTATGCTTGCATAAGTGCCTTGCCATGCCATGTTGCATCCTTAGCTTGCATGCCTAGGTTGCATTGCATCTTGCATGCATGCCTTGTTCCTTGACTTGGTGATAGGAATTGGGCTTTGGTTTGTTTGATTGGTTTGCATTTCATTTGACATGAATGTTGCATACTTGATTCTTTGGGCCATCATGCATGGAAATGCGTGATTGGTGGTCCGAGAATCGAGGCACATGCCCCTTTGAGTCATTACCATGATAAGGGGCATGAATGGTGCATATATGCTTTGAATTGTGCTGCCATGCTTTGCCTTGCCCTCTGTTGCTGTCAATTGCAGATTCCGCAGGAAAACTTTGCCGACCGGCAGTGTCAAGTGCCGACCGGCAATACTTTCACTGCCGATAGCTTCATTTTGTGCCGGTGGCCATACCACACTGCCGGTGGCAATTCCATTCAGCCGGTGGCACTCCTCGTTGTCTAGAAAAGCAGTCCTGAGGTTTTGCCAGCCTCCAGAGGAGTGAAGGAAGGAAAACAGAGGCAGCTCATGCATGGCGGCGCATTTCTCGAGGCGATTTACTGTTTTCTTAACTTAATTAAATTTGCTTA